TCGGCAAATTTCAAATGTCCGCTAGTGATGTGGCGCTACAATATTTGGCTATGTCTTGGCTACTTTAATATTATTTTTACGTGTTTTAGCTGGCAACACTCATTCGACCATGAAAGGGAGCCAGTATTTAAACAAGGCTTAATTTTCTAATTTTTAACGATACAATAGCGATGATTATTATCTTAAAAAATTTTTGTTAGGCTTAACATCGATGAAAATTCAACACGAAGTAGGTTAATAGCGATATACTAATATACTAATTACATAGGATATAATAATATACTACACTAATAATGGATTTTTTCATACTTTTCGGTTATTTGACTTTTCAATTATCCGACCAACCCCAGTCCCCAATTGAGTCGGATAATCGAGGCTCTACTGTAGTGATAATTTTAAGCTTTAATGGGAATTTCTGGAGTTACTTCTTGTGTTTGTGTTGATCATAAAAGTGTTCTTATATTGTATAATTAATACAATATAAGAACACTATAATAAACAAATATTTTATTATATATATAAACATATAAACAAGATAATTAATTTTCTTGTTTATATGTTTATATTACTGTATAATAAAATATTTATTTCTTCCTTCATATATATATAGTTTGTTATGATCCAGACATTATACATAAAATATGATCTTTAAATCTTATAGTATAAAAATATAATTATTGTATGTTATCTATATCCTGCATGCTATTAAGATATAATTATTTTTAAATCTTAAATTAATAATGTTTCCTTCAATCTTTTCATGGATAAGCTGTATATAATTTTTATTATATGAAATTGAAGCTTATAAGAATTAATTTACAAAGAGTTCTTAAGCTTCTTGTAAGAGTAAAAAATAAAGTTTTCCATTTTGATAAGAATGTTCATTTTCAGAATCTTTATCCAATGGCATATCATCACTGAAGATACAGAAGATATATCTTCACCCAGAAAATATTGTACTTCATTTTATCCAGTATCTTTTCTTTCAAAAAAACCAGTTTACCAAATATCTCTAAATTTAAAGTTTTTTTCCAGGACAGTAGCCCACAGAAAAAATTTGTAAACCCTGTCTTCTTGGGAGCAGTCATCTCCAACTTGCTGTACCTTCCTCACCTGGTTTACAAATGGGGATTCCTGTTCCTATTTCTTGGTTCTCTATATTAGGAGTTGTTTCCAATCTTTTTCATTTATCGACCCCTTTGAGAAAATTTTTTTTATTTATCCTCTTAAATACACACACCTACACACACATGCACACAACTTTTTAATAAATTTTATATATTTGGAGAGTTGAAAATGATGGTGAAAGTATTTAAGAATTTTTAAATGATTATATTCACTAAATAATTAAACAATATTAAAATATATATGCATGTACAATATGTCAGTAATTTACTCATTGACTATCTTTCAAACTTCCATTGATCTGTTGGGAAACCCTGCACCCAGCATTGAATATCTTCATCCTCACAAAAAATGATGCTATGCTATTGTTTAAATCTGAAAAATACTTGAAAAACTGTTTGAAGAAAGTCTAATGTATTAATAATGTGGTGGTACACCAATGTATTTTGTTATATTTTTATATATATGTTTTATATGTGTTTTTCTATTTTCCCTACCTTTGTTCTGTGTTCCTTTGTATACTTCCTGGAACTTTCTTCCAAGTGTGAATGGTGGGTGACCTGGTTAGGGGACAAAGAAAAGAAATAGCCCAGAAGGCAAGAGGGAGATGAGAGGGTCACTTTTGCTTTGGACCTAGAAGAGGGAAGATGTGTCAGAGGTGTCCAGGTCGTTGTAGCATCGACTGGAAAAAGGTCACAAAAAGTTCGGAAGAAAGAAGTATCGTGATTAAGGACATTTGTAGGCTAAAGAACCAAGAAACTTATTCATAGACTCTCACATACGATCCATCCCCAAAAGAAAGTCCAGGATGACGTCATCCAATCACCACCACCTCGATCGCCGATTCGGGTACCCATTCATGCTTGAAACTATATTCCTGTCTCTCATGATCTATCCTTTTCTCTCTCTCTCTTTTTTTTTCTTATTAGAGTAAGTAGGTTTAAGTTAGAAAATAAGTATTTTCTTTGTATTGCGAAAAAATTTGTTCAACTGTGGATCTGAACAGGTGCTGTTTTCTTTTTTTGGAAAATAAGGAATCAGGAGTGTCGGAATCCACAAGAACCTTTCTTGTAGAAGTTTATATGAGAAAAATAAAAGCACGTTTTATTGTTTTAATACCTGCCTCTTTGTAAAAATCAAAACTCACCATGTGCATATGACAACAATAATAAACAAAATGACAGTCTTAATTAATCAGACTATTTTATGCTACAAATAAAAATTAGAAATTAAGTAATTTGGTACTAGAGGTGACATTAAGTGCTATCTCTTGTCAAAATTAATAATTTCTTCTAAATTATATTAAATTATTATGTCTTGAAGAAAAGAACTGGTCAGAAACAGAAGTTGACCCACAACTTCTGCTTACCGTGCAGTGCACTGTTTAGTTATGCCACCTGGACATCCAAGCAACTCTTTGCTTCCAGACATGTTTAAAACCTTTAATAAAACCATCCATGGTTACTCATGGCAGCATAAAATAATACGATTAATTAAGGCTGTTGTTTGGTTTATTGTTTGAAGAAATATTGTATCAGGAACTTGATAATAAAAGGTTGGGTGGGAGCTGTTTTGCTATTCGCCCTGTGGACTATGTATGTTAAGACAAATGTCAAAAATACACAAAAACTTTGTTCAACCCAATATAACCTTTACTTATTAACCATGGCAAATGAGAAATCGATGGAAGCAATGAAGCCTAAAAAGAAGGTTGTAATATTGACAATTGAAATGAAAAGGAACCCATCACAAAGCATGAAAGTGGTACACTTGCTGAAGTTGATGGTGTGCAACCAATTTCATTTCATTATACAGTATTTATATATTTTATTTATTCTCTTCATCAACGTTGCACTATCTGGAACCTGTGACAGGCGCTTGACGCATATATACTATATATCGCTGTTGACAAACATTTTCGAGCGATCCCTTTGCTCTTCTTCAGGTTGACTGAAATTCCCCAGACGGAGTGTATATTATTTGTTGGGATCGGGTGTCGGTTCCGTGGGGGTGGGTCGTTTCCGGCAAGCACGGTTGTATGGTGGGGGAGGAAGTGGCGGGTTGGCGTCCAACAGTGATTGCCAGGCTAGAGACAGGGTTAACTCTTCTTTTCGGTTAACACAGGTGGCCAGCTGGCCAGCATTGTAGATAGCCGTGGCCTCTAGCCACCTGAGATGCTGTTGGTGTGGCATGCTGATGAGAATAGTAGCTTTCTCAAATTGCGCTTCGACTTCGGGATCTGACGCATATGTGGCCAGGGCTGTGGTTAGTCTCCTGTGTCGGATATCCGCTTGGTGTTCACGCAGGCGGGTGTTCAAGGAATGTTTGGTCAAGCCGATATATAGTAAGTCTGCATTCTGTCTGTTGTCTCGGAGTGGAATAGAGTAGATTCCGGGGAGTCTGGTGCGATCGGGAGGGTCTTTATCATTCCGTAGGATACAGAAAATTGTGGGGCATCTTCTGTATTCCAATCATATCCTGTGTTCTCTGGCTATCTTCTTATGCACAGTCTTGAGGTACAGGTTGAATGAGATGGGGACCTGTGTCGGGCTGTCCTGCCGTGGGTTGGCGACATTTCTTCTGGTTAAAGCGTGTTTTTGGCGTTGGTATTGTTCAACTAAGTTCAGGACCCGTGCTCAGTCGCTATCTTCCTGATGCAGGCTAACTTGTTCGTCAGGGCTTGCTTTGTGGATGAGTGTGAGAATGCCCTCTCCACCAGAGCCCTAAAGGCGGCTTGTACGGGAACGGGTCACAAGAATCGGCTGGTATGTACGTGGGGGTGGATGAGGGCTTGTGGTATACGGCTGTGTGGATGGTGGGTCCTACTATTTTTATTCCAACGTCGAGGAAATGGACTTCTTCTGTACTAGCCTGCTCCAGTTCAACAGTCAGGCCAAAAGGGTTGCTGTTGACAGTTCTAATGAAAGATGTCATGTCAGGGACCTCCCTCCATATGATAAGAATGTCGTCCATGTATCTTTTATAGATCAGGATGTTAGGAAGGAAAGGTGGGAGGGCCTTACATTCGAGCTGCCTGACGACCATTTCACAGAGGTGACCCGAGAGCGGGCTACCCGTCGGTACACCCATTTTCTGCTGGTAGATAGTGTCGCCAAACTTAAAAACAGAGTCGTAACACACAAGATGGGCCATTTTGAGTACCTGTTGGTGTAGTGTATGGTCTTGAACTATATTAAATAAAAAATCTCTGAGAGAGCAGAAGGCTGGAGGTAGCTCTATTGAGGGGTACATAGATTTGAAGTCCAGGATGTCTTAAACCTTGGTATTGTTTTGGGTCTAGGAACGGATTAATTCAGTTTCCATTATTGCTAACAAGAAAAATTGATTCAGACTTTGAGTGATTCAAAGTTCAAATGGCCTCCAGGAATAAATTAAATTTGAAGTATGAAGCACCACTGTATATAGTTTCATATATATTTTTCACAGAATCAAAAATGATTAACATTTTTATAGATATTAATAATCAGTTGTTAAAAATTTCTCAGCTATTATTGAAGACATCATTTAGTAAACTTAATGAAATGGACTAAGTTTTTTCATGATAGAAATCTACTTATTTTTTGTTTTAAATGTTTCGAAAAATAACAAAAAATATATGTTAAACTTTTTACCTGAAGACTTAGAAGGAAGCCCAGTGGAATCTTGATGTCCTGCACTTTTTGAAGGATTTCTCAATGGAGATGAGGTTCTGCAATAGTACTTCTTTGGGGAAGAACCCTGTTGAATAAAAGTAAAATCATAATTTATAATTATTGTTTTCCAATTTATAAATTATTCTCTAAAAATTAGTGAAATTTTAGCTTAAATAACAGCTTCAGCTTAAATACTTCTTCAGCATGACATTAATTTATTTAATCAAACATATTAGACTTGTTTTCATAAGTCCATATCAGGTTTAACAAGAAGATCCTGTAAATAAATTAAAGAATCTTCTTGTTGTGATGAAAAAAGTATTTAAGGTGTTGTTTAAACTAAATTCGTTTCAGCTTACAGAGGTGTTTTTTTATTAGTGAAATTTTTATTAAAGTAAAAACTGATGACAATGATGATGATGATGCATTGGCTTTTGGCTTTAAGCATTCAATATGAACAAGATTTCCTAAATATATACATGCATATGAAAATCTGCTATTGCTTATGCCTGACTTTGTGTAAGGTAGCAAGAGAATTTTTGATTTGTAGTTGTTTAGTTACTTATATCATTTTTAATTCTGTTTTGTCTCAGTTATTAATATTTCGAGCTTTGGGAGTTGTGTTAAGTTTCAACTGCTATCTTGACATTTTCCAACTAGAACTTAAAATTTGCAATATTTTGTAGTAAGATTTGAATAATGAAAGGGTATGAGTGAAATGCATCCCATTATTTTTGTGGCGGTACACCATGTTTTTGTAAATAGGGGTAGATATAAGTTTTACTTCTCCTAAATTCCTTTGTCTTTAACGTGTTTCTAGAACTTTCTAACCTATTCTTTTTCTATGGGTGGGGGACCTTTGTCCAAGGACAAAGGGAGAAGACAAAAGGGGACATTAAGAAGCCCTGAGGCCATCAGGAGAACGAACAAGACACTTTGGGGTCAGCGTCCGAGGTAGGAAAGAGGTAGGAAAGAGGAAGGAAAGAGCAGGCTAGAGGTTTGTCGCCTAGTGGGACAAAGTAAAAGAGAAGGCTTGGAAGTGGTCTGCAAACGGACGAAAATTAGAAGGACACCCAGATTAAGACTTCAAAAACGCTCTTGAATTCTCAAGAGACGGAAACGAGAGGAAGAAAATTGATTCAAGTACCGATATAGAGAAGATCGGAGACTCCCAAGTTTACCCGGGTACCCCACAAAATCTGTCCTTTATACTTATCTCTTCTCTTCATATCTCTTAATTTCTTCACCCTTCTTCCTTAGCATATAAGCTAGATTAAGGTAGATTTAAGTAGTTGTAGTATCTTAAACCATAATTTTTTTATTGTCGCGAGCACATGTCTTCTACTTGTGAAAACATAGAATTTTGTCGGACGAATTCAAACTTGTGCATGTACTATAGTTTGGGATCAAGTGTGTTTAGTGTAAACGAACCAGGTGTACGAAGGACTAAGTAGCTGTAGTTGAATAAATATCCTGTTTAATTTATGGTTACTTCTTTGTCATCCTTTTTTGTCCTCCACACCATCACATTTTAACATTTTAGGATTTATTCTTATAGATAAATTTTAGTAGTGAGACATGTTAAGTAAACCTTATTTTTTATAAGCATCTGGAGTATGCAAATCAGCAATGTATAAAAGAACATTTTTCAAATTGACATAGCGAGCTAGCTTTCACCTCATGTGTAGATGTTGAATTGTAAGTCATTGGTGCTGATTAAGGGATTTTCTTCTACGTTCTTTTCCCTGATTGGATTAACTGTCCAAGATTTTGGAATAATTATAATTTATAATTTTTACTAATAATCACTTTATTTGTTATACTATATTTACTTGTAAGATGATCTCACATATAAAATGAGATGTGACTTTAAAGATCAAAACAAAGAAAATTAGATATATTAATATAACTCTAATCTTATTTTGTTTAATCACAAATAAAATATTATCAAGTGCACATAAATGCACACATTGTCCTGCAAAAATTACTAGCATTTTAAACTTTAAGGAAAAATCTTGTAAAATCAACAACATAATTTATTAATGTAAAGCTGAACAATCAGAAACTTTTTTTTGCCAATTCTTAACAGTCTAACCCACTCTCCGTCCATTACACTTATGAGTTTCTCCGAATTCTGATTTCTGAATAATCATGTTTTCACGTGGGAATGGATTAAAACTTATATTGGACTCCTGTGTGATTTTGGAAAATGTTTGTTTGTTTGTTTTGTTAAGTTATGGCAACGCAACACTTGGGCAATCTGCCTTAGAGATGCCTTCCAGGTGGTTTTTTTTAAGGGTAACTGGCTCCTATTCAGGTGTTACAGACATGGAGAAAACCTGAAAAACTCCACATGGCCAGCCCATCCTGGCGAGGCGTGAACCTATGACAGGATTCCTAATGTTCAGGGAACAGAACTGTTTGGCCACTGGTAAGTAGATTTTGGAATTTTAATTTGGAATTCAATTCAAAAGCTTTTCCTATTGCTATTCACCTTTACTCCTGACAATACACAAGAATGATTCAAACGACCCAGATAAAATAGTTTTGTTTTTAAACACCAGAGAGTGAGCATCAAGTAAAAAATGCAAAGACAGAGTTGAAAAAAATTATTGCAAAAATGCAAAGAATCCTTCGCTCATGTGTATAGGACGACCTAGGTGTTTGAAACTGTGAAAAATGAATAAAAACCTCGTCTTATAAGCGAGTAAATATGGTAATTACTTGAACTAAAATTATAACATTAGAGTTTTATTAACTGTTGTTGCTGTAAAAGATACTGTATCTTGTTTTGTAATCAATGTCCAGTATGAATGGGAATCCAACTTTGTTTTAAATAACCATTCAAAACTGATTGTACTTAATAAACAAAGGCAAAATAAACCAATATCCAGCACAAAAATGTAAGACAGTCATGGGCGTAGCCAGGAAGGGACATGGGTGGACACAGCCCCCAGTTAACCTGGTGCCCTCCCCAGAAAATTACAGCCAAAAAAGTGTTGATTTGCAAAAAGAAATAAAAAGCTGAAGCTAATTTAATTGGGTATAGTGTACCCACTGAAACTGTAGATCAGACATAGCCAACATACAGCCCGCAATTAATCTCTGAATATTGGACTTAACTTCAAATAATTGCTCAAATGGATCCACGATAATTGCTTATATCCTCACAATGTGAAGTTATAGAAAAGTTGAAAAATTCTGACCCCTAAGAAGAAGAAGAAGAAGAAAAAATCTCTATGTACAGTTTAGTCTCTCTATGGGATGATGCCACAATAAGATCTCGCATCATCTGAAAATCTTGATAGGGCCGCCTCTGGTTAGGGCAGTGAAAAAAATTTTCTTTCGAATTCGGCCTGGAGGAAAAAGCTGTTGGCCACCCCTGGTCTATATCTAGATCAGAGGTATCCAACCTTTTTGTTTCTCTGGGCTACATTGGAAGAAGTCAAAGAGTTTTGGGCCAAAAGTATATATAATATATATTTGTGGTCCAATATACAAGTATATTTAAGGATTAACATGTCTAGATTATAATAATATTAAATCT